GAGAGAGAGAGAGAGAGAGAGAGAGAGAGAGAGAGAGAAGAGAAGAGAGAGAGAGAGAGAGAGAGAGAGAGAGAGAGAGAGAGAGAGAGAGAGACAACCGAGAGAGAGTTAGGGAGATCAGAGAAGAGGGAGGATCACACACACACACACAGCGTAGTTCAAGGGAGGAACGAGAAACGACACGAACACGCGACGTACGGAGGCATCGATCATCAAATGGAACGATGAGGAGTGCCGACGAAGGATCAGGCTGTGACCTAATCACGAGACAACTGTCCACCAAGCGGGATGGGTGGATAATTATTTAAAAAAAAAACAAAAACAAAAATAGCTTCGTGCCTTTATTAATAATAAAACCGATCGGAATTCTCGATCGGGATCTCGAGTTACTAGCGAGGCCACGAACTGTCCACCCTATCCCCGCCCCGTGGACGACACGCCCGACGACACATCGAGACGACACCAAGTTTTGGAAGAGAGGAAGCGGAAGAAGAAGAAGAAGAAGAAGAAGAAGAAGAAGAAGAGAGAGAAGAAACGAGGACGAAAGCGTGGTCAACGAACGGCAAGGAATTTTACACACGACACAAATATTAAATATTAACACACAGCTATACCCGAGCTAATATTGTTTTGTTGCGTACACGAGTTCACCGATTGAAATATCGCCTAATTTTTAAGTGGCATATACGAGTATATATATACATATATATATATATACTCGTTTTCTCCGAGTATTTGGGGGGGGAGCATTATAATAGGGAGCGTATATAATAATAATAATAATTAATCCCGCGACGACGGACGAGGGGGTGGCTTTCGTTCGAGCGAAACGAAACGACGAGGTGTGCCTATACTATACGATATATTATTATATATATATATATATATTTGTCCATGTTTCTAGAAGAGTGGGAACCGATTGATAATTATTATTATCGATATAACACGTGTGTGTAATATGGTGGGGCGTATGAGAGATCCGCTGGACGGATCCTCCGCAGCTTCCCTCAGTTGAGAGGCAGAAGAGGAACCCTTCTCGTGGATCTTCCAGGGGAACGACTCGGAACGGACTCGGCGTCCCGTTTTCGCCCTTCGTTTCGAGCCGTTTCTAACCAACGGAACAACGATGGCCAGTTTCACTCGGCATTCGTCGAACACTGTGTGTGTGTACCTCGTCGCGGTCTTTTTCTTTTTTTTTTTTTTCTTTCCTTTTTTTCCCCTTCATTTTTCATTCTCAAAAAAAAAAAAGAAAAGAAAAAGAAAAAGCGTACCTCGCGATTCGATCGAGCGCACCACCCTCCTTTGAAACGTCGTCTCGGTGGCGATATCATGTATTCTATCGCGCGATCTACTGCAACACAACAACACAGTCACAGGCTCGAGGGTGAGTCTGGATGATTTTGTTGTTTCAAGAACAAGAGTATCCTAGAATGGCGGTTCGTACCGAATCGACGGGAACGAAACCCGAAACCCGTTTTCTCTTCTCTTGAATGGAAGTTTCATTTCTTTTTTCACATTATCTCGTAAGCAAAAATTACAACAATACGATTATTACCTGTACGCATTACCTGTGCAACGTACGTCATCAACGTGCGATCACGGGTCGATCGAAGAGGATATAAATCCTTTTCTCTTAAGTTGTATGCATACACATATTTCTCTTCTCTTTTATCTTAGCACCATATCGAAGAACGCGTTCGAAATCTCGGACATATATTTGGTTCTATTCAACGATGAAAAATTCGAAATCACATCCGACGGTGAACATTCCTAGCGGCGAAAGCTTCGTGAAAAATTCCATGAAACTCGGCCGAGCGTGACGCTGGAAATCGCGGAACCCGGCGACGATGATCGCGAAGCGGACGTCGATTTAGCTTAGCAACAAAAAAAGAGAAAATAACAATAATAATAATAATTCTCTGTCGTTGTATTTTCTCTCGGCTTTCGAAATTCGCTCGCCGACAGGGGAACGAAAACGAGGAGATCGTAACGGAGAGAGACCGCGTTGCATTCGAAACGAAAAGGAAAACACGGTGCAAAAACGCGTTGAAGAAATTCGTATTCGCGCGTGATAAGAAGAGGAGGAAGAAGAAGAAAAGAAAAGGAAAAAAAAAATAAGAAAAAAAGAAGAAAAAGAAAAAATTACGTAGAGATGTTTTTATGATTATAACTGATTAATTGATAGAATTATAATAAACGAGGTTTAGGCTAGTCGCAGTGACAGGAGTACGAGTAACAGGGACGACAACAGGGAGGGGAGAACGAACGCACGATAAGATAATTTTAAACGAACTTAACCGAGCACCGGCGACTTTTTTATCATTTCACGGAAACGAGCCGAGGTCTCGAAAAGATTTTTTAGAATTGGGAAAAGAATCGATAAGACAAATTATTATGATCATCGAGTAAGGAGGGAGAGGTGGGGAGATAAAAATTGATGTGTATGTATATATATATATATATATATATATACATATATTGAAAAAGATGAAAAGACTAAACACTAAAAGAAGAAAAGAAAAAAAAAAGAACAATCACACGCCGGTGCATAACTATATAAAGTAGATTATATTTAAGAAAAAAAAACAATATATATATATATATATATATAAATATATATATATATGAGAAATTGAGGTATAATATATACATATATATGTATAATTATATAAAATTATATGTATATATATTAGGCATATAAAAACGAAAGACGGATGTTGGCGCGATTAAAATTGCGTAAGGAATGTGTGACAGAGGGTTAGACACCCACGCCTCCCTTATTCCACTTGTACCCGACCTATTGCACACGATACTCGCGCGCGTACTCATTCCAACACACACACACACACACACAGATACACACGGACATACAGACATACAGACATTTTATGTACGATGTGTTACACCCGTTTTCACACGTTGTACATTATCACGTTGTACACGCATACGAACACAAGCAAGTAGGGATTTGAATTCATTGCAGATGTTTTACATATGTGTTCTCTTATAATATGAACGTTTTCTTTTTTTTCCCCTCCCCCATCCGGTATATAAATGGTGATGTAGATAATTTACCGTGTAATGATTATTATTATAATTATACATATACATACGTCTCGAGTGGTAGCGAGCCCTTGTAAGTTAACCTAATTACTTTCTCACCCTTACTACTACCACTATAATTATCGGTATTACGTGCACTATTATTATTGAAATTATTATTATTATTATTATTATTATTATTATTATTGATATTATATTATTATTATTATTATTATTATTATCAGTACTATTATTATTATGTTATGTATATTATATGACGATTTTGTTTAAATCATGATTATAGAGTGATTATCGGTAGTCATTGATTTAATTTGTTTGGATTTATGTAATTAAGCCCTGTTTCAACGCGTTGCAACGCGATGTTTTCCCTATGTTCGTAATTCACCCTGTCCCCCTATTAATTGCGGTTATCATTTTTATCCGCCCCCTCCCTTTTGCGTTAAGACGAAACACTCTCGTCTCCACCCTCCTCGCCCTCCTCCCTTCTTATTCAATAATAATGTTTTCATTATTTAGTTATTATTGTATTTAGTTATTGTATCACGACGATCATTATCCTTATTATCATTATTATTACGATTATTATTATTATTATTATTATTATTATTATTATTATTATTATTATTATTATTATTAAGTACGAATTACACA